AACCTGCGAAGAAGCTCAATTATTCTACATACATATATGCGCAGCATTTCGAAGAGAACCAGTGCCAACCAGTTGTTCGAAAGCAGTTCGAACACCGATACGATCGTAAATCCGCAAATATTTTACAACTCGTAAAAATATCTTTACGTCTTCTTCTTGCATTTACCCGTGGTGCATTATAAAATTCGCACCACTATTCTCAGACCAGTCAAAATAATCTATTAAATTACATATGTCAATAAACACGATCTATATTTTCTCACACTTGTGATTCGATGCCAATTGATAATCAGGAAAATATATATTTGATCGATATCACGAGACATCGAGCATCGTTGTTTCCCATTTTACCCTCACCAGAATCTTATAATAATTTCCATCCATTCGAAAAACTTTTCATTTCAACAGCAAAAACCGAGATAAACGTTTGACGATCTCGAGAAGAATTTCATGGCAAAACTTACTTCAGCCTCTTTTGTTTTCCATTCATATGATTAATCACCGTTGGCACACGATTGCAATAAATTTCACGATCGTAAAACCGATCGTTTGCACTTCGCCGCAACTATTAAAGGCCAATCTAAAATTCACCTTACACACACGATGCCCTCGTGCCCATCGGCGCGAAAGTGGCGCGAAAGAAGAACCACAGCCAGTGTTAGAAGAGCGGTCGGTGGTGCGGGCAGACGTCATCGGGTTTCTGGTCAGCGTCGCGACGCCTCGTGCACTCGGTCAGTGCTGGGCTGTCGGTCGCGTGGCGAACCTACCCTCGTCGAACCGATCCTCGAGGACACGTGGTCTTCGCTTCTGATTCAGATCGATCTGTCCTGCGACCGCGTGCGTAACGCAGAGCAGGAGGAGGAGGAGGAGGAGGAATCAGCGCGTGACCAGGAAATAAATAACGGAGTGCGCTCGCCGACAAAGGCCTTGACGTTGCACCACCCCCTACATACGTCGCCCCGTGAATATTTCAATAGCGTATCGATCTACGAGGAACACACGTGTGTGTGTCTGAAAGCGAATTCGCTTCTTCGTGCGATCATCACTCGGTGTTTGGTTCGAAGCAACTCGGTTTAACCGCGTCCCTTTTCAACCACGCAACGGGCTAATCACCACCAGGTACTACCTTTGCCAGGACACGTTCACCAACCGTCGGTGATTACCTCGCGAGACCATCGATCCATCCGCTCTCTCTCTCTCTTGTTGTGTGTCTAATATATTCTACACATGTGTGTTCTACATC